AATCCGGAAAAATTGAAAAATTCATAACTCAGTCAAGATAAGCAGTCGAGCTCTTGGATGTTTGTTGATAATAGATCTACCAGTCTAAATTGTGCTCTGAAAATTTCAGCTCTCTAACTTCTTTTATCACTAAATTAAACGATTTTCTGTACATGAGGAAAAAAGCAGTTATAGCTGCTTGTGAGATCTCCATTTCAACTAGTACTTGTTTCCATCATTTTATCATGTCTTCTACTCTCTATCCTATTACAGTTATTGAAGAGTTGCATTTCTATTAATCCTTTTTCTTTCTTTTGTGCTTAATTTTAGACAGAAGAGATAATCTATGATAAACCATCATAACGCTAGTAGATTATTAGGTAATTATATATGTAGTTTATTGCCGTCATATCGTTACAATAATGCCTACTATGCAAGGGACAAAGATGCAGCTCAAAATTTATTTAATAATATTAAATTCGTCCTTCCAAGCACACATTAGAATTTTGAAACTGAACATACTATTTATTTTAGTTATGATAGCAAGCCCGTAGCCAGGAATTTTCTCAGGGGGGGAGCCCACCATGGTGAAAAACCAGTTTTGGCTGGCGCAAAATCCGACCCACCATACCTTCTTCCAGGAAAGTTTTGTCTCAAAGAGGGCCCGGGTTTCCTCTCCCCCCCCCTTGGCCACGGCCTTGTATGATAGCAGTCACCAACAATTAGATCAAGAACACAAGAGTGAAACTGAAGTTTTCAGGCTAATATTTAGATTAGTAGATCTATTATTGGCATAAATTTTAAAACTTGACTACTGATCTTGGCTGAGTTATGAATTTTTCAATTTTTCCAGATTTTATGAAAGGAAATTAGGAAAAGCAGCATAGTTTTCGAAAGAAGAACCATAGACCTGAACGCTTTTAGGCATTTTCTTATCTCAATATACTCTATCGAGCGAAATATTGATGAATCGAAAGAAAGTTATACACCTCGAATACCTCCCTCATTCGTTGCTAAAAACGTGTGTTTGGATATTAGAAGTTTTTCAAAAATTCGTAGTCTTCCATTAAAAACTAGAAAAAGTTATCCTGCAATAGGAGGTCACCTTTAGAGAAGCGATGAGAATTTCTATAATAGAAGGCCATCTTGAGGGTGTGGGTGTGGGTTTCCTTATCTATCACCCACACCCGCCCACCCATTTAGATACTTCCTTGAACCACATCCACACCCTTATGGTTATAAAACTATTCAGAAAAACAGAATACATGCTCTTCTATGGACTGTCGCTTGTGCCTAATTTGTGAACTGTATTTTTATTCATCCTATTGCAAGCCATGATTGAGAATAATTAATTTTACTTTCAATACTCTTGTTTGTGCTTTATTATATATGATTTTCTTTTTTTCTTGACTAAAAATTTAAGAATCGAAATGCGTTTCATTGAAATGATTAAAAGTCAACCACACAGTAAATTACTTAAAAACAAATAAAGAAAACATTCATTTGATTAAACGCGTAACTTTCTGTTATCTATTGTCTCTAATCACTTTAGGTGAACTTCTGTTAGTTATATTATTAGCAAGCCATACAGGTGTCGTTAATATTGGTCGTTCAACACAAGCCTGTCGACTAACATCATTTTTTTGTCGTTCGATTTGTGGACCATTTTGTCTTGCTTCTAATCCTTTCAAAATAATAAATGTATGTCGTAATAAAATATCATCATTAATTTTAAAGGATTCAATATCATTGGTAGTCACATCAACAGTCCATACGTCACAACGCTTCACATATTGCTGTAAAGGTACATCAAAAGTCAAATTAGTATCATGGAAATACGTACAATAAGTCTTTTGAGCATATTAATCCAACAGTCTAAATTTTTTAGACGAGCACTTATTGTTATTTTTCCTGATGTCATGTCAATAAATTGATTGATGAGATCATTTTTTTTATTGTCTGAAACTAATAATGTTTCAGGTAAATCTTGTTTGATATTATTTCGTAAAATTTTTTCAAATACAATCTCTTCAATTAATTCGTACAAGTCAATGATATATTTAAGTTCAATTGTCGAAAGCATAGGATCTCGAAGTAAATTTTCACTGAGACCCATTTTTGAATAAATATATTGTTCGACAAATTTTTTAATTGTTAATATCGGTACATTTTTATATTCAAAATGACGCAAATATGTAAAGATATAATCAAGTGAACCAAGATAATGAAGTATATCATCATTTGAAATGTTTTTAATTAAATTTTGCAATTCAATTCGTTCTTTATTAGTCAATAGCTTTTGTTCGATACGTCTTCGAACATTAGTAATTAACGATGTATTTTCATCGTAGAGTTCAAATTGATAATTTAGAAAATGTAATCTTTCTGTATCAATTAATGGTAAACAACAAATCTTGTCACGAAGCATAAATTCAATTTCTTCATAATCATAAATAATATCTTTGCCTTTTCCATAATCATAGTTTATAATAGATCCATCATCAATCAATTTTCTACTAATAAAATCCTTATCAAAACAAAGAAGATGTTTCTGTTGAACAGCTTGTAATAATACAACATATGGTTGAAGTTTTTTATTCATTGAATTTGAATTCATAATTTCATAAAAATATTTAACAATATCATTTTGTAATTCTGCAACAGTTTTTAAGCAAGCAATTAACAAAAGACTATTATTATCTCCTGATGAGTTTAATAATACTTTAGAAATTTCTGTTCTTTTTGCAAAATCTTCCAATTAATACTTATGTTCAAATATTATAGTCTGAGAGCCTAAATGAACTTCTTTAAAGTTAAGTTTATACCATGCCTGAAATAAAATTTTCATATAATTTTAATGTTTCCTCTTTATTTGAGTCATTGAATATTATTTCACTAATTGTTTTTTTAGCTGCATTTTTACGTGTTATTCGATAATTCAATTTTTGAATTAGATAATTTGTAAACATAATAATCGGATAGAGATATTGAATATTTGCATAATCATCATATCGTTGAAGTAAAAATATCGTTATTGGATATGTTTTATTAGCATTTGGTATTATTCGAAGTTTAGCACGAA